TATGTATTACATAATATTGTATTTAGCATCAACACTTTTTGAAAGAGAGCTTACTAATTGTTGATGGTACTGGTAACAGTCACAGCGTCTCCATTCGCTGCTAACACTGCCATGTTTGCGGTGCCATGATCTTCCACAGAGGTGAAGTTAGCTCCATAGTATTCATAATCATCAAAGGTTTTATTATCGTAAATTAATGTACGTATATGATCAGCAAATTCTTGGCTAGTCATGTTTTTGAAAGTCTCCTCAATAGTCTGTTTAAGATCAGGCTCATTTTCCATATCACCTAGGTTGGTTCGTTGACCATAGGCGTGTTTGAATGTTTCAATTACCCGTTGCCAGTATATTTCCCTGTTTTCGGTGTGGAGATCCGTCAACACGTTAAACATAAATGCAAGGACGGCACCACTAGATGGTAAAGGAGTTGTGTAGAGGGTATATCCATCAGTTACATTCGCTATAATGTGGTCAGAATCCTCCCAACGAACTCTAAGTTGGAGAAAAATTTGGATTTTTTTAAGATTGGTAAAATTAGTTATGATATTGCTTTTTAATATACATACTCGAAATTTCTCAAGTCTTCTTCCGTAATAATTCCACCCATGTTTCTAATATCTTCTACAAACATTTTGCCTGTTTCTCCGCCACCGTAAAACTCTTCCACACCATTTTCGGCAATTTTTTCCAGAGTAATACCCAATTGAGACCGCTTCATGTAGTCTCCTTCAATGTAAGGCGTGCCATCTCCTTTGAGAAAGACTTCTGCCAACGACGGTTCGTTACGAATTATATCTTCTTTTGATTTAATGGCCGCAGCGAGGTATGGAGAGACCCAATGGCCTTCTTTGCACAATTTTATGGTAGGCTGAAATAGCGCTTTCCAAGGTAGACGCCCGTATTTGGTATGCATTTCCCAATAACCAAGCAGTTCTCCTGGTACAGCTCCAGCTCGAGCACCTGTGTATGAGTTAAAGGTGATGTAACCCACTAAATTCCAATAACTCAAAAGCTCAGTTAGTCTAGACTTAATTTTAATAACTTAATTTAACTTAATATTTTGGCCAACCTGTTATATGAGAAACTGCGTTGGCACTTAGTTAAAACTTAACTGAAAGATTAATGTACGCAAACCTATTTTTTTGCATGAAATTTTTTGATGTGGCATTTTAGGCGGCGAACTGTTAAATAGCTGAAAAAGAAAATACATAAACAAAATATTTTCGTTTCTGGCTTAAGTTGACCCGTTGAGTAATCATTGACAATTTCTTACCGTAAGTTAAATTAAGCTAAGTCAAGACTAATTAGCCTTTAACTAAGCTTTATGTAGTTACCCAAAAAAACCACGTCACTTATAAACGTGGAGAACTATAGATTTTTGATTTCTAAGTTATATTTCTAAGTGCAAAGAGAGCCGTGAGAGAATCATGCTGTCATTAAATTTTTTAATAAAATTCCTACATATATGCTACACAAATATATTTTTTTTTATAAATGTAATTCATCTGGCAATCGGAAAACAAACCTTCAAATAGAGGCATAAAATTAAATAAAAACAACAATAATTTGAAACGCGTAAATATATTTATTTTAAGAGTAATTTTGTAGCTATTTTGGTGTAAAAACAAATTAAACGTTTACAACTTTACGTGTACATATTAGGGATGTTAATTTTTCAGCTTTTTCCGATCCCGGGATTTTCGGGATGTCGTATCACAATTCCGGGATACCGGAATTAGTCACGGGATTTATATATTCATTAGTTCTCAACAATTTAAATCGAAAAAAATTGCTCCTTTATTGTGTGAGAAGCTCTCCTACCAAATGCAAGAGGAAATTTCTTTACAATTAAAAAAAAATTTTTTCAAAAACAAATATTGCGAAATTTCAAAGATAAAATTTTAAAAGGACATTTTCAATACTTACTATTACTTATGCACCAAAAACTTAAATCTGTTTAAATTCTACAGGATTTCCTCTTTAATTTGATACCCATACTTCTTCTCTAGGCACATTTCTCTGAATTTTGTAAATCATTTTTGAATTACAGACGTCAGATTGAAAAGCTAATAATAATAATATATTTGGCTCATGGTTTCGCGATTATATTGATATTTGTGCTTAAAATTTATTATCGCGCCCGGGATCCCGGGATTGACATTCCAAGTACATATGTATCCAAGTGCTGAGAATCTAAAGCAGGCATGGGCAGAGAATTAGCAGGTGCAAAAAGAGCGTAAGCATCGCAGCAGCATGCAAAATGAATTCGGCACACTAACACATTCTCACTTTTAGCTCTTGTTTGTTTGTGGTAGTGCCCAGGGTCGTAGCCAGGATTTTTTTCGGGTGGGAGAGGGGGCGAGAGGTTCTGGCAAAATTTTTGACGTAGAATACGTCTTACCTTACGATATGGAAGCTATGCTGAAATGTTGTAGTTGTAATTTTTATAGCTTCACGAAAACGCTTATTGCACGAGAACTAATGAAGGGATTTCAAAGAAAAGTGTGGCATTTCAAAGATAAAATTCCAAACCTATCTACAGATTCATTTTGGTAAGTAACCGATTCGGTTTCTGTCATAAAAAGAACGGTAAACATTGGCTTATTTGGGGGTAAATTTTGAGCCTTTAAAGTGCTCCAGCAGCTTATGATTTGCAGATATAACTCTCATTTTCGGGATATAGATTCTTTGGAGCAATAGAATTATTACCGTTTCCAGATTTTATATAAATTCAACAAATATTGAGCATTTTAAGGTAAAAAATTGTTGAAAAAATTTTCAAATTTTTTTTATTACCAAAATGCTCGAAAACCGCTCGAATGATTTGGTTTTTGTTTCCTTTAATCATAATAATTAATTCAAGGGTTTTCCTTTCGTTTGATGTATGGGAAGTATTGGTTGATATTTTCTTAGTATGTCTATTTGATTCAAATATATGGGCATAAATGATTTCCCATACAAAATCACTTCGTCATCGTTTTGCAAACACGTGCATGCGTTGGAAGTGAGTGGAGGAGACAAAAAGTATGTATGTGTGCGTAAGTACATATTTCGTCTTTTGATAAACAGATGGCGCAGTATTTATAACCTATTTAATCGCAGCGTATGTATGTAAACACATACACACGAACATACATATGTTTACTGCAGTTAATGTGGATCTGTTTTTATTTTTTGGTAGTCTATGTATGTATGTATGTCTATACATATTATATATGTACATACGTATATGTATGAACACATGTATGCATAATACGCGAAAACTATTTGAAGTGAAACAAGACTTAGAAAAACCCCAATCCAAAAATAAAAGTAAAGATGAGCACGTACATAGATAAAGAAAAGGATAAAGGCAAAAGTACATATAAAAAAACAAAGTTGCGTAAAGATAAAGGCATAAATGAAGACCAAGGTAAATTAATCACTTTACTTATATAAGGGCAAAGATGAAGGGGAATATGTATATGAAGAATATGATAAACAAAAAAATTAAAACAAAAAAATTAAAAAAAAAGGAAAAGATGAGGATGAGGATACCGATAAAAGTATAGATGAAGATAGAGGAAGAAAGATTAAAATAAAGGTAGTTGTAGAGAAATTGAGTTAGAGGATTGAGTCCAATCTGGTAGCTGTTTCGGGATTTGAGTAATTTTCGGGATTCTCGGGACTTATCGATATAATAATCGATATTTTGTCAGTTCTGTTATCGATTTTGTTATCGATAACGTCACTGATTTTGATATCGATATTTTCGGAACTTATCGATATAATTATAGATATTTTTTATCGATTTTGTTATCGATATTATTACCGATTTTGACATCGATATTTTCATAGATATTTTTTATCGATGTTTTTTATCGAATTTGCTATCGATATTATTATCGCTTTTGTTATCGATATTTTTTTCTTATACTTTCTTCGATAACAATGGTTTTCTTTGATATTTTTATCGATCTTGTTATCGATTTTGTTATTGACTTTGTAATCGATTTTGTCATAGAGTTTGTTATCGTTGTTATGTAATTGATTTTTTGATAGATTTTGCAATCGATTTAGTTGTCGATTTTGTTATCGATATTTTTATCGATTTTGTTATCGATATTATTACCGATTTTGATATCGATATTTTCAAAGATATTTTTTATCTATGTTTTTATCAAATTTGCTATCGATATATTGTAAATAGATTTTTTCTAAAATTTCACACTCCCACCCACAGGGATGGTTTTTGGAAGCAGGAGAAAAGGGGGAAGAATTCAATTACACTTCCTAAATGGTAGCGAAATTCCACAAAAAGGTGTGGATATTGGAGCATCGTGGTATTTAAATAAAAAAACGAATTTGATATAATTATTTAAACTAGCTTATTTACATCGAATATAACCCCTGATTGTTATTAAAAATAAATATTGCTATGGATGGTCCCCTTTGATCCATTTTTTTATTGTTTGTCTGCCTTGTAAATTCTTTGCGGTACAATTTACATTAAATAGATATGAATAAGCTATTTGTTTGTGGAAAAATTATGGAATTTTGATTAAAAGAAGCCAAATAAAAACATTTGGAGCTTACGTTTTTTTCGCGGTTATGGCTCTTTTGCTACGAATATGGTAATTCAAATTCTTTGATATTGCACTTTTATACTAGTTTCATATATAAGTAGATTATCCTCATTTTCGAGCTTGACTCCCTAATCTAAAGAGATTAGCCATATAAAATAATCTCCGATTTAACCGATAACTTTTCGGTGTCCATCCTAGTTTTATCGATTGTTTTTGCGAAGAAGAGGAGAAATGGCAAATGTAAAAGTAAACAAAAATGGATGCTAGCAAGGAAAAGAGGTTTGTAAAGGTATTTTATTTAATAAAATATTAATTTAAAATACATTTAAATTGCTTAATATAGCAGAAAAACGTGATCACGGTGGCACAGAGAAGAAACATAACTTTTCCTTGAGATGTGAGAATGACAAGCACGAAAAATTTTATAGCTAATAATCTGAAATCTGTGTAAACGGGGTGATTAAAAAACGGGCTTTGATTGAGCTAATATTTATATGTGAACATACTTTTAGTGTTAGCTTAGCTACTGAACGACTGAGATAGGGAGCGTGATCTACATCGTCGAATGAGAAGTGCCGTAAGTGTGCAATTATATCGCGCCATTGACTAAACCTAGCTGTCTTGTGTTTCGACTGGATCCATGGATGCGGTTTGCTAATATTATATTGTGTCAAAGTCTCATTCGGAGACACCAGCAGTGCGATTCCAGCATTCGCTATCGCTAATTTCGATCGCTAAAGATCTTCAAAAGAATAGCAGGCGCGCTTAACAACATGCAACGTTTAGTTACATGCCCCTCATACTGCCAGATTTGCCTGATTACACTTTGTTTCTGTTACTTCTCCATATTGCGTACTTTTAGGACACACGGCTTTTAATTTAGATCATTGCGCGATTTGCTTTACAGCGACTTGACAGAATCATTACATAGATCACCACGAATGTCGACAAACACAACTATGCAGCATTTACGGGAATTTCGTCATTTTAGCCTACATTGAATTTCTCTAGGCTAACAGTTCTCACCTATTTTGTCTTCTTGTCGTCAGCGAATGCAGAACAAACACCTCTACAAATTTACAAAGTAAAAATTTCACTACTAAAAATTTAAAAATGTTCTTAAAACTTGCAAATAAATTTGGAAAAGAAATATCACTGTTTTTGTTTTTGGGAGTAGGGTAGGAGTGTCATTGATAAAATTAGAGCGAGAGAAAGTTTTTCTTACAAAACCTTTCATTATTGAATCATGTATACACATATTTGTACATACATAAATACATATAAAAAAAAAAATTCATCTGATTTCCCTACAAACCATTTTTTCAAAGTACTCTGCAATGTAAAGAAATTTTAAAGAATTCGTTAAGATTTAATTCGATTTTTTGCCGAATTTTCTAAAATGAAATAAATTAAGCACACTTCCATTCTTTTACGAAATTTCAGAAGAAAATCTGTGAAGCAACGAAATTAATGGTGCTATGTGAAGAATATCTTTCAGAATTTTTCCAGAATTTTCTTTATTTTTCGTACAGAAATTTCTTTACGAGTTCGTGTCAACCACTTAATATAATTTTCTTTGAAAATTCGTAAAAAATCGTTACAGAAATGAGATACTCCTAACGATTTCCTTAAGATTTCGGGAACTTTGGTTTGCAGTTATTCAGATTTTAATAAATTTTTTTTTTTTGAGTAAACAGTAGTTACTCAGGACCTGATTAATCAGAAACTTGATTAACCGATTAATCGCACATCCCTAGTAAAAATATTAAATACTACACAATTTTATTCTACAAACAAAGTTTCAGATAAATAATTTACTGGTTTAACGACTTATTATGGTAATAAGGCTAATGATTGTTGTCACATGAATATATACATACTAGATAAGAGATAAATGATGTCGATTATAAAGCAAAGTAAAGGGTGATTTAGATAAGGAATTTCAGTTTTAAAAGTTTCCGGGATTCATTCAATGTTTTATATGTATGTAAGTACGTACGTATGTATTTGCCTGAGATACGTATAAAGTGTCGATTATTTTCGAGTCTTCTGCTAGCCTCTAAAGATTTATAACGCAATATATCGTAAAATAACCTATTAGATGCTACTAACCTGTAACACTTGGTTGGCCAACAAACATGTCCTTGTGAGCTTCAGAAGGTGCCATTTCTCGTGCTACCACGGTCTCAACTTTTCGCGTTGATCTTGTGTATATAGTGGCAAAGAAACCTCCGCCAATCCCCATACTGTGTGGCAGCAAAACACCTTCACAGAGGAGTGTGGCTATGGCTGCGTCTACAGCAGAACCACCGTCGTTCAACATTTGGCTGTTGGAAAAAAAATCAACGTAAATAATAAACATCAAATTTAGGCATACATTTATATATACATATGTATAGTATTTTATTTATATAAGTATAGTATTTTTTTACATACATATCGTCGTTTAAAGTACAAAACCGCGTATCGTCATTCTGCAAAACCGCGTAACTGACATTGGCTGCCAAAAATTGGATTTGCTCACACAAGCACAAGAATCCTTTTTGTCAGGTATTAGGGAAATACTATTTACATATCGTCGTTTAAAGTGCAAAACCGCGTATCAGCAAAATGCAAAACCGCGTATGTGAAGTTTTAGAAATTATTTTCTAGTGGGTAAAAACCCTCATATTTCAAAATGGTTCTCTTTTTTATAAAACAATCGCATTTCTGGCTAGTATATTTCAGGACGAATGGATAAGGATTGAGCCAAGAGCTTGTGTGAGCAAATCCACGGTTTTGTACTTTAAACGACGATATAATCGTACCTTACAAGTAGGTATAAATCATCCCCACACTAAGAAAGAAGTAACATCCCTCTAAGGAACTGAACTAACCATAAATGCACTACAAGTTCACTTTTTTCAACTAGGGGTGACTACGCCTCGACTACTTTACGTTGCTTT